GGGTTACGCTTATGCCTCCTTCTATGCATGAGGAACCGTATGCAAGAACACAGACCCTTCTTTTAATTTAGTCATTATTGCTCTACTAACTTAATGAAATTATGAGGAGAACAAAGGGGCATTWTTATATGTATTTTCCAGGCACATAGTTTAATTTTATACCACAATCAAGTAACTATGCTCCCTTCAGTTGTTATTAAAATGYTTYWTRTGTCAAAAATAAATTTGATTTTACATCATGGCCTTATTAAACACATTGAAACTGGCCTCTGTCTCTTTAAGAACCTCYTACCATTTCAGACACTCACACTTCAGCAATTTTCAAACAATGCTTTTTTTCTTTGGGTTGGGGGCGCTCTGTGGGCGGTGCTTTGTACCAGTAAGCGATTAGGCAGCTCCAGGGTTACCACAGGAGTTTTAAGGATTTCTCAAACAYGTATGAATGAGTCAAAGCAACACTGTATGTTTTTGATGAGGGAATGACTTTATAACATAAYGTGTTTGCGTAACCCACCCCCTCACACCTAACCCTTTAATAAGTCCACACTAGGCCTTATCCAGCAAATTACAATAACAACTAGACATGAGTTTTTAGGATGTAAAAACAAGTGTGGATTGCCACGTAGCATTTCATTGCAGCATGGCTTTGCCTGCAGCATTGGACTTGCAGAATGAGCTTTAACCAGGTTCAAATGTGTTTTCTATACCAGGTTGTGCCTGTCACGTCAGCAGGTGTTTGTATTTAAGGTAACTGTGTGACAATACGAAGTTTGAAGAGATTTTTGTTAAAGTAGCTGGATTTGAACCCTGATCTCCTGCATGAAAGCCCACAGTGCTCATCATGAAACCATAGGAGATGTGGCAGAGGACAATCCCAGGGATTGGATTGTACGTATAAAGAAAAGGTTTACCTTGCCAATGCAATTATTGACACTTAAGTGCAATATAGTACAGCAATTGGACAACATAAAGACAGTATTACAGCAAAACATCAAAATACAATCATATTAATATTTTAATCACTGAACTACTGAGTTTAAATATTATGAAACTATGGTGCAGTACCATATTGTGTAGATGCAGCAGGGGGCAGTATTGGACCAATACAAGGCTCCATTGACTGCCATTATAATTTATTAAACATTAATATTTCAAAAACTATAAGTTGTACAGGCACCAAAAGGCATAGCCATCATTTGGCACTGGGACTTTACAGATATAAATTACAAAGGCAGCTCTAGGACAAAGTATGCAGGAGGAGAAGCATGGCAAATTTGAGATGACTTGGATGGGAAACGAATCACAATAGTGTGCATTGCATTGGCAATGCACACTGATAAACATTATAACTTATGATAACATATATATTACTAACTTGTGACTTTATTGTCCCATATGTAATTAATTTGAACAAAATAAATATAGATTTAACAGATTAGTAAAAGTGGCAAAGTAATGTGTGTGTTTAGGTCATGAAATATTTCCACTAAATGGGTTTATAGAAATCTTACAAATATTCCTTCCTCCTCGGCTTTGAAGCTTTTGCCRTCAGGGTTTGAGACACTGAATGCTTCCTTCGACCTTTTCTCAGCCCTAACATGAGTCATACATCGCTTTGAAATCTAAAGCACCGCTGTTTATTTTCCACCGGCGGTTGCTGTTAACCTGATCACACGCAAYCTAATAACAATATTATTGTGCTACGACTGCACACTTGAGCCACCGRTGGGCCTGCTGGCGTTTAGTCAGGTGCACTCCTCTCTGCGGTGCAGGGGAGAGGAGAGGCTCCATCTTCACAAGGTGTAGCATGTCTGAGGCCATTCGCCCTCTGCATTCTTGGTCTAAATGTTATTAGAAAAGCTGGGAGGTGCTGCAGAGTCAGTGGGTTCTTCTTTCTTTCGGAAATTCCCAGACGTAACCATGAGAGAAGAGGTTTGGTTTGGATCAGATTAGACGAAAATACCAACACAGACGGGAGGTCTCTTTGCAGCGGATTGAGAAGGTGCTTTATGTGTGTATACATGTGTGCAAACATGGGAGAGAGCGCTCCGAATCAAAGGGGGTTCAGTGTTAATTTGGAGCTGAGTTGGTGACCTTTGACCGCTGATTCACAAGTGAGGAATGCTCTTTGTGTTTTCGGTCAGCTGCAGAAAGGATGAGGAGTCTACAGTCGTGCAGTTGACTCAAAAATGTAACCTTTTAAACCTCCAAATCTCCCGTTTTTCTTCGTAAATACCTCGTCCAAGTCTGAGTCCTGGAGTCCTTCTGTACAGCCAGAGGTCTCTGCAGGTCTGCTTCACAGGAGGAATTTCCCTACGAGATTAACAGGACAGTTCCTCAGCTGTGAGCACACAGACAGCGAAAGAGTTGAGGTGAGAAAGACCAGACCACCCCTGGTTCTACTGAGCCGGCACATTCACATGCTCGCCACACAGAGGTTTAAAAAAACCTGACATCATCAGTTGATTTGCCAAATGAGTAGGGGATCAGTGAAAAGCCAGGTTCATGACCCCCCTCAATCAGTCTATCTTCAAGCTTTCCTCCAAATAATAAACGTTTTGAGCTTAACTTTGGAAAGTCTGGTTTGGCTAAATATTGTGGTCACAAATGAGCTAGGATGAACATTTCAAGATGTCATTTGCTATTAGTGTTCCATTTCAAATGCTTGTACTTGCACAAAACTATAAAATTTATGTTTAGACAGCATGCACTGTCATCAAAACAGTCCCTTTAATCACAGTTTATGTAGTGATCTCTAAAATGCTATGTCACAATAAATGTGGTGATTTATTTGTAAAATTAGTTTATCTAAAGAGCAGATGGACCATCCATTGCTCAGATATAAAGTCTGCCTCTCTGATGGTATAAGGGTGCACAAGTTATATTTGCTAGTTTTCTAGATTTGCACACAGTTTTGTAGTATACATTTTGCATTTGTTCCAAATGAGGGATCATTTTCAGTGATGCAATTCTGATCATCATGGTCGTACATAGAAAGCACCACTGCCATAAAATCTCAACAGTATAAAGTTTGTTCTCGTGGGCTGATTATGTTCCACTTTCAAAAAAAAAAAAGCAATAACCAGTGTAAGATCAACCTGTGTGGCTTCTGGATTTGTTTTTCTGCAGACAGACACATAATCATCCCTGTCTGAGCTGAAGAAAAAGACATGTTTTCCAGCATGTGCTCTCACCCTGTTTTAAGTACAGGATCCAAGTAAAGTCTAGTACAAAACACTGAATTCATCAGCCTCTTTCTGACTGCGTTTAGTTGCACGAAATTCCTCTTGTACCTTCACCCGGTCACGGTTCTCCCATGGGGGGGAGCTCGATTGTTAACGCAGGGAACTTCACTTTTCTGCTCCCTGAGAAAAAGAAACAGTTCACAGTCTGTTTACAGATCAGCCTCAGAGTCTGAGAACCTTTCCTAATCATTTCTTCAAATCAGATTCAGACAGCTTTATTATGAGGAAAATAAAAACTATTTTCTGAAAAACATCAACGAGACTTGAAGAAATTTGCTGWAGAAGATGAAAGTGAGGTGTTAAAGCTAAAAAAAATAACAGAAGCAAAATATAGCTAAAAGATAAAATGCTACCTAAAGGCTATAAGCGTCAAGTACAAAAAAAACTAAAAGCAGCAAAATAACTAAAGGTGGCAATGCTAGATAAAAATAAAAGTAGGTAACTTCATTTACCAAAACATTTTCCTAAAACAAGCAAAATGCAAGCTAAAAACTAAAATTAGCAAAAGATTAGCTAAAAGTTTTTTAATACTGGTTAATCTAAAATGAGCAAATGGTCCCTAATGGCTAAGTAGTAAAACACTATTTCTAAGAGAAAAGTAGGTAAAAGCTAACTAAAAGTAGCTAAAAATGTTAAAGTAGCTAAATAATAGCTAAAAGCTAGATCTAAGCGAAAAGTTGGGAAAGGCTAGCTAAAAGTAGCTAAAATGTTAAAGCAGCTAAATGACAGCTAAAAGCTAGATCAAAGTGAAAAAATCTGAAAGGCTAGCTAAAAGTGGCTAAAATGTTAAAGTAGCTAAATGATAGCTAAAAGCTAGATCAAAGTGAAAAGTTGGGAAAGGCTAGCTAAAAGTAGCTAAAATGTTAAAGTAGCTAAATGATAGCTAAAAGCTAGATCAAAGTGAAAAGTTCTGAAAGGCTAGCTAAAGTAGCTAAAATGTTAAAGTAGCTAAATGATAACTAAAAGCTATATCTAAGTGAAAAGTTGGGAAAGGCTAGCTAAAAGTAGCTAAAATGTTAAAGTAGTTAAATGATAGCTAAAAGCTATATCTAAGTGAAAAGTTGGGAAAGGCTAGCTAAAAGTAGCTAAAAATGTTAAAGTAGCTAAATGATAGCTAAAAGCTAGGTCAAAGTGAAAAATTGGGAAAGGCTAGCTAAAAGTAGCTAAAAATGTTAAAGTAGCTAAATGATAGCTAAAAGCTAGATCAAAGTGAAAAGTTCTGAAAGACTAGCTAAAAGTGGCTAAAATGTTAAAGTAGCTAAATGATAGCTAAAAGCTATGTCTAAGTGAAAAGTTGGGAAAGGCTAGCTAAAAGTAGCTAAAATGTTAAAGTAGCTAAATGATAACTAAAAGCTATAGTGAAAGTTGGGAAAGGCTAGCTGAAAGTGGCTAAAATGTTAAAGTAGTTAAATGATAGCTAAAAGCTATATTTAAGTGAACAGTTGGGAAAGGCTAGCTAAAATTAGCTAAAATGTTAAAGTAGCTAAATGATAGCTAAAAGCTAGATCAAAGTGAAAAATTGGGAATAGCTAGCAAGGTTGAAGTTGTATGGCTAAATGATGAAAATAAGTAGAAAACATAAAAGCTGAATATAAAGAACAATGTTTTTGAAGAAATTTGATTTTTTGTAAATAAAGTTAAATATTTTAAATCTTCAAGTTACAAAACATAGAACTGTCAGCAAGATTATGAATGAGCTGAACATTTTGAAATCTGGGGGGGGGAAGCACATGGGGGGGGGGCGTGTTGCGAGGGAAAATACAAAAAAAATTAACATAAATTGAGTTTAAGTTCAGTTCAAATGAAGAAACGCTGCTCAGACTCTGTGGGACCCCCGGGGGTCTTAATGATTGTGTGTTCGGGGGTCTCTGTCTGGATGCTGCAGACTGGGAGGAGGAAGAGGAGGAGGTGGTTGAARAAGTGGGAAGCGCTTGTTGTTCCGTCTCAGCGCAGATCGGTCAGTGCGCAGCTGAAGGCGCTGAGGTTCAGTCCGCTTTCCGACCAAGTCCGCTGTCTCACAAACCTTTTTTAAAGTCATTATTATCTTCATATTTTTTTTGGGAGGAACTGTTTGGTTTTTATGAGAGGAGTCAAAGTGTCCGGATGGAGAAGCACAAAGGTAAGTGGAGGGTTTCTGTGTGAATAAACAGCCGATAGTGAAAGTCTGTAAAACAGACTGAGTCAAGCATAAGAAAAACAACTTTTGCACTTTGCAGCATATAAAACGCATCTTCACGTGAGCAGATTGTTTTAGTTTTCATTTCTGTGTCACCTGCTCAATAAAACAAAATAAAAAGTTGTGATCAGCAGYTCCTCAGATTATAACGTGGTCTGAAGAGGAAAAAAAAACTGCTTTTATTGTGGCCAATGATAAACTCCCAAAGCTGCAACTTTGTTGACACAACATTCCCTAAATTCTTGTGGTTATTTATTATGAGGGATGAGGTTAGTATTAAAGGGACAGTTCAGCTCTTTTAAAGGGGGTTGTCTGTGAACAACTAATATCTTACCTGTTGTAGAAGGCTCTTTGAACAGCCTTGTTTTGTTTAATTTTGACCGAATGGATGAATTTACCTGTACGTAACTATAGCATTCTATGAAGATAACTGTTTAAAATAAAGATTTATAAAAATGCGTTTACATGAACAATATCAAAACATTTCAAGACTTTAAGACGGCATCAATCCTACGTGATATTGGCTCTGCTCAGACCAGTTCAGTCAGCATTAAACTGGGGTTCCTCAAACCGAGCAACAGGTGAGATAATAACCCTTTCTGCCACTTCAAAAAGATGTGAACAATTGAACCAGTTGCACAAGTACATAGATGAAGCCTAATGGGATACTRTGAAGCCCATGCTCTCACTGGTCCAGAGAGGACAGCAGGAGCAACTTTCTGGCCTGAGAACAATGGTGACCAGTCAAACTGGAATGGAATGAAGACAGCCTGAAAGAAAACAGTCTCTCTGCCACATTCCTGTTCACCAGCTGACCACACAGCCCAACCTGTTTACTCCCACTGCCTCCCAGAGTAAATCATTCGTTTTGTGAGCAGCCAGAAGCAGATGGGATGTTTCCTGTGAGGGGTTTTGTGTCGGTCATTCACAGACTGATCACGTGTCCGACTGAAACATTCAACCCAATTCAAGATGGCTGCCACAGCCAACAAGAAAATGGCAAAATTTTACTGATTTGTTGTTGATTCTTAACCCCAACTTCTACCCCTTGTACTGAATACATGAGCTCTAGTATTTTACTACTGATGTCAACTCCGTCTATTAGCAAAATATCTAATGAACCACTTGATATATTTTAATGAAACGTCCAGGAAATAATAATTGGATGTACATCTATAACTGATTAATGTTTGGATTAAATCCATAGTAACATGAACGCCACAGCTAATCGAGATTGACCAAGACGAAATTTGTTGCAACTCAGTCAGTTTGACAAATAATGAGCTCAAACTTCATGTGGTAGCTGAGTCACCTGCATAATGCAAAAGGTTGGTTTTTAAGGTTTAAAGTGGCTATGAGTCAATTATTTCTCATCATAAAGGGATTTCAGTCTGGAATTCGGAGATAAAAGGCAGCAAATGATACGCCTTCGGTTAAAGAAAGTTAGATCACGCAAATTTCTATACATTTTTCAAAACATGACATCATTCAGCATTAATATTATTAAACTTACATGGTTGAATCGATAAAAAGTATTTTACAGTAATAATCGTGTTTCGGGCTAAGGGAAAATTTAGGTCAGCAAATAAAGAACTGATTAAACAATAAAATGGTCAAAGATGGGCGTTGGTTTGATGACATCAATCGATCAGACAAGTGATGATTTTTAAGGTTGACATTTCAAATTTGCTGTGAAAAGGCCTGGGTGAGCTGGAGCCACAGGAATGTAATTAGACATATTCAGGGCATGAAACCTGCACCTGCAGTCGCTGTGTTCAGGCTGACATATAGAAACTGACGTTTAGTCTCACGGCAGCTGAGGGACTCGCGAGGAGGTGAACCGAGGAAAAGACACGTTTGTTGATTTGCTCCGTGTTTTTGGAACGTGACTTGTTTAGTTTTTCGTCCCGAGGAGCAGCAGCCCAGCAGCTCACGGCTCAGGTTCTCACACCTTGTGCCAGGGAGCAGGATCAGATTAGTGAAACCACCTGGAGTTTTGTTTGGTCTGGACTGACCTTTTCGCTATCACGGCTCATGTTTGAGAATCTTTGTTGCGAAACAGCGTGCGTGCGTCAGGTGCTCACCGCTGACCTGAGCTCTTTGTCAGTCAGGTACACGACCACTGCTCTCATCACGTTGACCACTTACAGCCCACAGAGCTCCAACAATAATATAGTCTCTAAATAAGTTTACACAAGTGATCATTCTCTCTCTTCTATAAAACTTCTCATAAACACATTCAGGTTATTGTGGCTTCAATCAGTGGGTTACTAAGAGTTTTATCCTTTGTTATAAACAGTTTATAAACCAGCAGCATTAATGTTAAGCAAGATAAGAGACAACTTAATCTACATGAACACTGCTGTGCTCTGAACTGAATGTTGGAAAATGACACAAGCTGGTTTAGTTCATGTAATAGTTACTGATCTTAAACTGAGAAGGATTTGAGACGTCTGCAGATTTTGGTTTAATTTTTTTTTTGTCTTTTTCACTTCTTACAGCGGGTAAAATAAGTATTGAACACGTCACCATTTTTCTCAGTAAATATATTACTAGAGCTGCTAATGACATGAAATTTTCACCAGATGTTGGT